TGGGAGTTGAAGTCCACTCATCTTAAAGTGGCCAAGTTTGGACAACACTGGTTTAAGCAAAAGGTTCAAGAGTAATTTTCAGAGGGGGGCAAAAATGCCAAGTTTGCTTCTGCAGTGTGACCCACTGGTGGGATGGGGCTACTGTTGTGTGCCCCTTAAGGCTGATCCATTCAACTGCTTTGCTGTGCTTTTCTCGTGTCCTGGAGCCAGGAAGAAATCACGTTGGCATAAATGGCACTGTCCCTGCAGCGTGGCCTTGACACGTATCTAAAATGGGGCCATGTTATGTAGCTCCTCAGTGTGACACTAAGAGCAGTGACTGATCAATAGTGTGTGGTCAGAGACAAATGCATTATTATCTACTCTCACTCAGCTTGCTTCCTCTTCCAGGGGCTGCACAGATATCATCTGTTGTATCTTGCTGCTGGTTGCAATTGGGGGCTATGTTGCAGTGGGTATTGTGGGTACGTATCCTACTGTTTATTATTTTTTTCTGCCTTGAGGTATTATTTTTGCTGCTAAAAGTTGGATGTGCTAAGGTTGGATAGAAAAGGAGAATTATAACTGCCAAGAATGTATACTGTATCATCATAGAAGGAAATAGATGGGATGGGTTTCAAATAATGGTATCCAATTTTAAATGATTGTTTGCTCCTTAATCCTGTTGCTAATGTCTGCTACACCAGGAGTTTGTCTCTTTTGGGTAGAGAGGGTTGTGCTTGGCCTTTGAGAGGAATGTTGGGGGCCACACTCAACACATGTTGGGCGACGCAACCACATTTGATTTCATTTCAGTAATATTTAAATGTAATTAAAATATAGTGAAATTACTACCTCTAGTCATGTATTTAATAATTTCCCCCTTCTATTACATTAAATACTGCTTTTTCTTCTGGTAATATATGGTAAAAGATGGTTGTTTTGATGTCTAGATTGATTATATGCAGGTCTATTTCTCAGCAGGACTATAGTCATTTGAGAAGATCCCTGCTGCTGCTCTGGATTTTGTGAACTTCAGTGCATGAATATTTGCCTAACTCTTTAACAGAGTTAGTATAATGCAGCAAATACAGATCTGGGTTTGGGATTAAATGCCAGCTAGTTTAGTGAGAGCACTGAGCACGCTGCATTTTCAGATTAATTTATCTCACATATTCTAAGCATAAAATCACAATGCCATTATCCTAATTTCCTAGGATAAAAGGAAATATCAACATGAATAAAAGGAGTAGGTTAAAAGCTTAAAGTAACTGCTTGGAAGCTCTCTGGTGTTTCAAGATCTGGAGGGAAGTTATTCTGGAGTTGGATGATACCTAAATTGAATGAATTAAATTAGTCAGACTGTAAATGTTCTCTTCAGCATGGACACAAGGAGATCCCCGCAAGGTGATTTATCCAACAGACAGTCGTGGTCAGTTCTGTGGCCAAAAGGGGACACCCAATGAGTAAGTATCAAAGAGAAATCCTCTAGTTTTAAACGTGAAGTCTGTGCCAAGAGACTGGTGAATCTGAAAGACTTCCTGATTGTTTTTGGGATCTCATCTGTTGAAGCTCTTATTTATCTCTGGAACAGCAAAATGGTGCTGAGGGTTGACATGATTGCTTTCCAATATGTGACTGGGTTGGTAGGTTTCCAGGAGTGTTGGAATATGATGATAATCTGAATTTGAACCAACATGGCGCTAGACATATCTAACCAAACAAGGGCTAAAATGTATTTGAAGCCCTGCTCAGTGGTGATTATACCTTGGCATTCCCATTGTAGCTTTACATTAGTCATCTTTGGGTGGTGAACATTTTATGGAGACTCCGTGATAGCATGTTATAATCCTTTTGTATGGCAGTTTGCTTGTATCCATGTGGACCTGGATGCCATAATTGATATAGAACCAATTGATGCAACTTTGGTCCATGCTGATTTAGTGATAATGGACACGTTTGCATTTTTTTAGCCTGCAAATGTAGGTAGAACTCTCAAAGAGATGAAACTTAGCACAAGTATCCTTCACCTTGTATTTCCTGGTTTATAAAAGTGGTTGGTGTGATTGGCTAAGTAGATAAGGGAAGTAGTGAACTCTGCTATTATGCCTAAAACCTCCAATTCCAATATAATGTTTTTAGTATATGGTGACATCTTAACTCCTGAGATTTCTAGATAAGGCCAATAATTTCAATCAGTGTTCAGGTCTGATTATGGAGTACAGATTATTTTGTCAGCTTGTGCATTATCAGTCCTAGGAAATGGGCAAAGGGAATCTGATTCTTAGACTTCTCAGAAGCTATTATTGTAATACCACTGACTGTGCTATAAGGAACTGGAGGGACTGTCATATAGTGGCTTAATAGGGTGATTTCAAAAAGGGTTCCTGGTAAACTCCTTAAAACAGTGGCCACTGTATGTATGCCACGTTCGTTCTTGATCTTCACATTATTTAACATAGCATCTGAGGCAGGCAACGTTTTCATGGGAGGGGCTATTTTTTCATGGTTTCCAAGAGTTGCAGGGCAGAGTCCAATTATATGGTTACATTACCACCTAGGAGATGCTGGAAGTCAGGCAGCATATAAATTTAATTCATCACCATTCACCATTTAAATTTCCAGTATAGACCCTCCACATCCTCATGGGTTTTTCCTAAAAGAGGTATTTGTGGTGAGTGTAAGTTGAAATCAGGAAACTGGTTTTGGGAGGGAAGAAGATGCTTTAAAAACCACAGCAGGAGGTCAAAAGTTCTGCCTCCATAGAAATGCCAGTTGATCCTTCAACTGTTGACTCACCTTTCCACCCACCACCACCACCACCACCCCGCTACTGAAAGAGATGGTAGAGATCAATGAAGAGAGGGCAGAGAAGAGACTGTAGCAGGGAAAAGAGTGTTTCCCCCATGCACCCTACTGTCTGTGAAATTTCAAGGCAATTTCTTAAAATAGTTGTGTTTTGAGCCTTGTTCTTACTGTGGAATAATTGCAGTAAGCCTCTACGTCGAAGGTCGTACAGAAGGGCATATAGATAGGCCTATGCCCAAGTCTCTCATTTTGAGGATGTACTTCAGTTGTTACTTTTAAATGTATAGCCTTCTTTTCCACTTATGTAAGCAGTCAAGGATGTTTACAACACTAACACAAACTACCACATTGGTAATAATCATACAATTAAAAGAGATACAACATAATTCAAATCTGTTGACAGGATTAGCCTGGTGAGAGCAAGGGAAATGCTTGATACAGACTTGATTGTAATTCATTCAGAAGCGATACCTAAGGCTTTTCCATGGGATTAGAGGGAATGCCTTCCACATTTTTTCAAGCCTTCTATATCATATGGTTTCATCTGTTGATAGGAACAAACAGAAGGCCAGTTGTTTGTAATGTTGCATTCTGTTTCCAGGCAGAAGCCTTTCTTGTTCTACTTCAACATCATGAAATGTGCCAGCCCTTTGGTGCTGTTGGAATTTCAGTGTCCTACTACACAGGTAAGGTTTTCTCTGGACTTTGTCCTTGACATTTTCTCCAGGGATGTCAAACTAGAAAAGTGTTGTGCCCCTTTGTTTGGGCTGGATTCATGAACAAGTGAAAACAGACATAGAGTTCTATATTGTTCTTTGATTATTGGAGTATGTCTTAAGGGTGGCAGCATTGACTTTGCCTGGGCTGAGAAGCTAAGCGGTCCTGGGCCTGGTTAATACTTAAATGGAGGACCACCAAAGAATATCAGAATTCAGAAGCTGGGATTTGCTGTCCCAGCTGCTTCATTTGTAGCTTATCAGACTTTCAGTTTATCAAACTTTTGTTTATTGATTTGCTAGATTTCCTCCAAAAACTTAAAATCTCATAAATAATAATCTTTTCCTCAGTTCTACTTCATAGTAACAACTTTGTGAGATAGCTTAGTCTGAGGGAGTGGGAGAGAATGTAGGAGGCATAGAGAATGGCCTTGAAGGACAGTAGGAAGATCCATTACCAAGGCAATGATCAGACAAGGGTGGCTTGAGCCCATTCCAAGAAGCAGATGTAAGAAAAAGGCTCAGACAGGCCTCTCCCTAATTCACATAAAGATAAAGGGAGGGAGGAGGGAAGCACATTCAGACATGCAAGATTCTATTATTATAGCTGTTTTATTAACATATTTTAGATCCATATGGCATTTGTTTCTTAATCTGGTCTACCTTATATGGCTGACAGAGAGAGACTGGCCCAAATTCATGCCATAAAGTTTCATTGATGAGCATGGACTTGAACTTTAGTCTCTGCAGTCCCAATCCATCATTTTAATCTCTATACCACACATCAAAGCAGGATATTTTTGTATGTATTTGGAGAAATAACCTTCCTTTGATTTTACCACAGCAGAACTTTGGTCAGTAATTCTTTATTATCAAATTCCAATATTAGTTGGACTGGACTGGACTGGACTGGACATTCGAGACTAATTTCTACATGAAAAACTTATTTACAACGAGTATTTCAAAATATATAAAGGATTGAATTTAAGCTTAGGATGATTCACTTGCTCTACCTTCTTTACCAGCTCTCTGTAAATCCCAAAAGTATTTCATATACTAATGAGGAAAAAAATGTGGTGAATTAGATTCCAGATACCTGGCATGAAGAAAAAGTTGAGACCTAAACTGTAACATATCAGGATGATACACACATTGAGGGTTGTGTTCTATAGTCTGGAGATGTGAATTATTTAGATGTAGAGTACTAAATAATTAGACTCTTAAGATTCGATTTGAAGTAGCTGTTAGAACTATGGTTGCATTTCATTCTCTGCCTTTTTCCCTTTTTTGCTTCTGACTTAAACGCATGAAGAAAAATAAATAAATGAAATAACAAAAAGATATTGAATTCAAGAATATTCAAGATATCAAATCATATAATTTAAGAAGATGGTAACTACAATTTGAAATTTTTAAAAAGAGCAAAAATATTTGAATATCTGTATCATAAAAAAAGTGCTATCAATGAAGTTTTATTTGATTGCTTGAAACTCCCCTTCTTGCTCCTCCATTCGATAATAATTTCAGATATCCAAAATCCACAGGCTAGTGATCCATTGCAGCTGAACCCTTCTTCTGACTATGCACTGTGAATGAATACTTATAAATCTCCAATGCTGGGGGGATATAGCCAAGGAAAGCATATTTTATTGAACAGTCATATTGACAGTTGATTGAATCTCAGACTAAAACATGACAGTAGTAGGAAGAACTCACAGTATGTTAGTGTCACAGTTCTTGAATTGTTTTTCTAACATCAGGAGACCTGTAATCTTTCTTAAGTATTCCCTGAAGTGTTCAATAAATACCATTATTGATCATATTTCAAGCTGAAAATATATTTGATAGTAAAAATACAACGTGTGTGTGTGTGTGTGTGTGTGTGATATAACATATACCTAGAAAAGTATGGAACTTACAGAGTGTTTATAAAATGTCTTCACTAAAAATTCATGCATGTTATGAATGAGACTATCACATTGTCTGGGGGTTTAATATTCCATTTAGCTTGTCAGAAATAATGCATTGACTGAACATCCTAAATGTACCTTTTCCTATTATTTTCTTCGTATAAAATACAAGTACATGAAATTTTGCTGCTATCTTAAATATGTAGATTCCTTCAGATCAGTACAGGAGGAATATAATAATATCTATTAAATTTATATGCCACTTGGTGGTTTATACAGTAATTGTTCAAAAAACATTGAATAATACAACCCCCCCCTCAAAAACAGCACAAGACAAAGGAACAATGATGGCAAAGAAAATAAACCCAGAGGGGAACAAAAAGGAAGAAAAGGGCACCAATTGCCCTCTCCAAAGCCCCGGGTGAAGAGCCAGGTTTTTAAGGCCCTTTGAAATACCAGTAGGGTGAGAGCCATTCGAATTTCAGGGGGAACCTCATTCCAGAGGGCAGGTGTTGCTACAAAGGAGGTGCACTTCTGGGGTGCCGATAGGTGGCATTGTTTAATTGATGGAACCCGGAGGGCCTCAACCCTGCCAGATTGAACGGACAGATCCTATGGGAGACAAGCAGTCCCTCAAGTAACCAGACCCTTTATTGTAAGGAATAAAGGAATTTCCTTTATTGTAATATTCCTTTACAATAAAAGGAATTTCCTTTATTGTGATAATTCAGCAATAATATTTAGATTCTGGAAAGAAGATGCATTCTGTAGTTTTAGATACTGTATGTGATCCAGAACCTATGTCCAGTAACTTCATCCTTTCTTATGTTCTTACAGAAATAAGAAACCCTCTAGCACAGTTTACCTACGCTTTTTAAAATAATGTAAGGACTTAGATATTTCATTTTGGCAATAATACACTACATAGCACACCATAAACAGAGGTTGATTTAAAAAAATAAAACCCATTTTTGCTGCAACAGGATGTCAATTATCATGCTGGAAAAGTGTAAATATGTGGCAGTATGTATGACTTACAGGGAAATATAAATGGCTAGAACAAATCCATTCTTGAGGCAAAGCTGAAGAAAATCAGGAAATTTGAAGAATAATGCAGGATAATATATACTCATGAAATCAGAATGAAAGCAGTGTGGTTCCTCAGGAAGTTATCATTATAGCAGTTTTTAAAAATGCATTAAATTTTAATGCTTTAATATAAATCTTAGATTACAAGATTGGTCCCTGCTGAGATTCGTAGGAGTGTAGCCAGTCGTAAACGGTAATGTCCCAAAAACAGCTTGATGAGCTTGCTTCCTTCTACGCTCTTAGCTCTAATTCTACCATCAGTTCCTGGTCTGTCGTCTTTTTGTGGGGGGGGGGGCAGGTTGATTTAATTCCAGACAAACATGAGGTGCTAAGAATGTGGAATCCAAGAAGAGAATTTCATGGAAGTTGAGGACGGTACTTTATTTTAAGGATGACATCTTTTAAATTTTGCTTACAATAATTTAAAAATGAATAGTGGCAGAGGATCTTGCAGGCACCAAGTGTGGCATCCATAAGTATATTGACACCCATGAATACTTTTGAGGGGGGTTCCTGAGATAAACCGTAGATTGCAAACCAGAGAAGTTGTATTATGGTACAGTGCAGTGTAAAAATTCAGTTAATAAATTGCTGTGTTCCTTGGGATTTTTTCAGATCTGTGTGAGCAAGTGTCCGGATCGCTACCTCACCTTCCTGCAAGCCTCCACTGCTGACAGCACAGGAACCAAGGAACTAAAATATTATCAACAGTTTTGTGTCCCAGAGTTTACTGATCTGAAGAAGGTAAGTGGGCTGGATTGTTGGATAGTTGCCTATATTTTTCCTGAAAAGGCAGATAGAGAATCTCCTTTTCTGGGCAGGAATTAACTTTTGATGCATCCCCTGTCTTTCAATCTCTGCTCCAGAGCGTTCCTGAAGTGTTGAAAGATGGTGATTGCCCAGCCATGCTTACACCAAGCAAGCCCTGTAAGTCCTTCTGGAAAAGCAAGCTGGTAGGAGAAATTCTGGGGATTTAATTCTGGTTTCAAGAGCAGCTGAACCATCTTAATACAACCAAGCAAGGGCTGTGACTGCCAACTGCTTCCATAGTCATTCCACATACAAACTAGATTGGATGGTAATTTTGCTTGTTACTCACAGGATAGATCTCCATGAGTTATTTAGCCCAGTCTTTTCCCTGGAGCAAGCTATCTCTAAGATTTTAAAAAAAAAAACTTTAAAAACATCCAAATGATTGATTACCTAAACTCTGTAGCTGGCTTGGACTTAGTTGCTTATTTTTAATTTACTTAAACTTTATGACACTATGACTATCTAGCTTCAGTGGTTCAAGTTGGGCAACAGAAGGTAAAATCTGTGGTAGTTTCCAGTTTTTTAAAATATGCTTTGGTTTCCAAAACTCACAACATTATTTTGTTGTGCAGAGCTTGGTCTTTGCTCATTGTTTTAAACATTGGTACATGTTGGATAGGAAGATCAAGAGTGTTGTTCTTCTTACCTACACCCACAACCTATTATATTGAATAGGTGACTATGATTCCTGTAAGTTGAAATGAGTACAAGGCTACTTTCTATGTGCCAGGTGGTCCCTGTTTCCCTATCTCTTGGTTTCTGTTTTTGAGCCAATTGTTTTTGAATGTTCAGTAGTGGACGAGCCTCTTCCAGCTAGATGGTTGTAATACACATAATTCTAATAATTTCATCTTAAATTTAGGTTATGATTTAATACATCCTGTATTGGTAGTCACAATTGGAGTTGCAAGTAGGTCAGAGTGATAGGTATAATTGGCCTATTTTATTATTATTAGTAGTAGTAGTAGTAGTACTTGGCATTTCCAAGATGGGAAACAAGTGAGAGAAATAGAGTAATTACAAAAATTTCATCCAATAAAAATAGTTTACAACTAAACAACCAGACCAGTTAAATAAATACTTAAGCTAATAGGAACAAAACCTTTCAATCATACATATTAACAAATGTGCTATAATAAACATTTGATTTACAATACAGCCAAGTCCAAATACATCTGTAACTTAAGTAAAACAGAGACTAATGTGGAATGCCAATCTTAATGAGAGCAGGATGTGACAAACCCTACTCTAACCCACCAGTTAAATAAAAGTGTCTTTAAATCCCTCTTAAAAGCCTTCAGACTCTTCCCAAAGGCAAAGGGGGAGCTGATTCAGAGTTCTTGAAAGCCCAGAACCTGGAGATTACAACCTTGGGCAGGGAACAGAAAGGAAACCCTGCCCAGAGAACATAAGAAATTAACATGATTGTCAGAGGACATAAAGGTATATACTAGGGAGCGGGGACTGGGAGGCTCAGTATACAAGTACCAGTAGTTTAAACTGGGCTGACTCGAATAGAGAGCTTGTGAAGGGCCCTGCAGTGTTGTGAAACCTGAGAATAACATGGTGCTCTAATCAGGCAGAGGAAATCACTGGGATCAAGTGTTTAGATCTCTCTGATGTCTTGTGAACTGCAGTGGCTCGTAGATGCTTACCTGCAATCAGCGCCAAGAAAGGTGTTATCATGGTTGGAAATGCAACAACTTTTGATGATGGAAGTGGAAAGAAAAGGAATGTGACAGAACTTCTGGAAGGGGCCAAGTGAGTTTTATTTGCCTGTTGTGATAAATTTATTTATTTAGTCAGTCAGTCAGTCAGTCAGTCAGTCAGTCAGTCTACATGGCCAATTAGCAAAAAGTGACTGAGTGACTTACCAATTTCTAGGAACATAAAAACCAAGTATTAGAAAATAAAACACAGTAACCATCTGGAACAGAAAAGTAAACAGAACAATAGAAATAACAAAAAATAACACAATTAACCAAGCCCAACCAACACTTATCATGTTTAAGGTCTTTCATTCCAGCCTAATGCTTGAGGGGAAGAACCAGGTTTTCATGGCCTTACAGAGGGACAGAAAGGTGAGAGCCATCTAAACCTTGTGGGGAATGTTGTTCCACAGGGCAGGCACTGTGACAGACGCCTCCTAGGTCCCACTAGATGACACTCTTTCATGGAAGGGACCCAAAGCATGCCCACTTTGCCAGATTTCATGGGCCTAGCTGAGATAATTGGAGACAAGGGCCCCACAAATAACTTGGTCTGTGCCATGAAGGACTTTATAGGGTTATAAGCACCTGGAATTGCATCTGAAAGATTATAGGAAGCCAGTGCACCTCACCAAGTTATGGCATTAAATGGGCATGCCAAGGTACTTACATAACTACTTCCACCACTGAATTCTGGATCAGTTACAGTTCTAGGTGGTTTCAGCTGGTGTCACATTCAGAACCCAGTGGAGCACTTCTCTGAGAGAGAAGTCCTCTCCTCAGTGCCCAGTCAGGTCTTAGTAATACAGTGCCAGGTTTATGCAGGTTTACAACAAGCTGATTTGGCATGTAGAAGCAACAGCCAACACCCTGGGACACAGAGGTAGTGATGACTGGGTATTGGGATTGAGCACAGGGGGTTGGAGAGCAGAATTGGGACTGAATGTTCCCTGAGGGTGGTACCCCATACCTGCCCCTGCCCATCACCACAGAAGTGGAAGCTGATGAATCTACAGATAAAGAGTTCCTAGCTTTCAACATAGGGTTGTTTTTTTCAAATATGCTACATTAATGGAGTTATCTTTGTTAACTATTCTTCTCCCCACATAAACGGAAATGTGCTCATGTTACTAAGAAGCTTATTAACTTCAACCATGAGTGAGTAAAGCTCCCACAGTGCTGATAAATGGTTAGGCATGGCAAGAGCAGGTGGAAGAGAACATCTTGGTATAGATTGGACATCCTTTTTTCCATTTTCAGCATCCAATATTAAACAGATAATTGTTCTGTGTCAGTTTCTCCTGGGTCACATAGCTTCTAGGGCTCGGCAGTGCTCTTCATTCGGTGTCCAAAAGGTATTTTGGAGCATATAGGAGCAGGAACCTAGTGCCTGTCTGCAAGGCCTGACTGCAATTCTCAGTTTCCTGTGAATGCAGAAACAACTAGGAGTAACTTCCTAAGCCATGTGAGCCTTGGGAAAAAATGTTTCTGCTTTATTGATACAAAAATAGCTCCTCATAGGCATTCCTGTAATTCCAAAGCACCTCTTTGGATAGATTTACACATCCCTAGAAATTGCATTTTCTTTCCTCCTGTAATTTTCACTTTGTGTTGCTTTTAATTACAGAAAGGCAAATGTCCTTCTGGAGACAAGACAAGTGGCTATGAAGATCTTTGAAGATTACACTGTTTCCTGGTACTGGATAATAATGTGAGCACAGGACTGAATAGCCTAGCTAATCTATAGAATGAAATCAGGGCCTAGCTATCTGAAAAGCAGAGCACTGGAGAAATTAGAAAATGTATTACAACATGTGTCCCTCCTCCACTGCACATATGCATGGAATGTGATGTTTAAGCCTTTATCTGCTCTTGCTTAATTTTGCAGTGAATGAAAATGCCAGCAGGCCAGATTTAGATTAAATGGTAAGGAGTAGCACTTGCTTAGTTTTTTGGGAAAAGGGTTATACTCCAAACTAACAGAATAGGGAAGATGTTGCATTTACAAATTGGCTAAGCAGAGCAAGAGACAATTACGGACAAGGATAACATGCTTAGCATCCCAGATGCTTGGATAAGCACATCAGATGCTACACTTTGTATTTGTCAAGTACAATTACGCACATTGAACAAAACCTCTACCTGAATGAGCAAGCAGTGTGGGAGAAAGTAGTTGAACATGAATGCCTCACAAATGCAGCAACAACGCTTTTGAGCAATACAGTATAGAAGGCAAACCCATTTAACAGTGGAAATAGAGAATAACAGAAAATGAATGACCCAGCTGTGAATCAGAACCTTATATTCATTGCATTTATATCTCCTCTTCTCTCAGAGAACTCAAGGTGGATTATATGGGGATCTCCCCTAATTTTATCCATGTCAGCCTTACAAGGAGGGTTGGGCTGAGACAACCACTGGCCCAAAGTCACTCAGTAAGCACCACGGTGAAGTGGGGATTTGACCTTGGGTTTCTTTGGCCTGATTCCACAATTTTAACTTACTACACAAGCGGTTATGGCACTTTTATCTCTGCCCTAGCTGAAGCACTGCTCCCTTGCCTGTCCATTTGTTCATTCCCTCCATTTTTGGGAACAGTCTGCATTGAATATTAATTTATTTTACATAATTGACATTGTTCATCCACATTGGCTTGATTTGTAACAATGTGTTTTAATTTATTTGGAGTTAGTATCAGGCCACTGTAGTTTGTTCAACAAACCATGCTTTTAAAAATCCTGGGTTAGCATTTGGTGTGACTGTAGCTATTTTGTTACTGATTCATGTAATCCAAGCAGTTAAAATTGTAAACATCCTCGTGGTAATGTAGTGGATGAGAATTTACAGAAGAGGAGAATTTATAAAAGAAAGATTAATGGTAACTGCATATACATTTATGTAAATGTAAGTGAAACATGGAAGGGAGAAGCCCATTTCACAAATGTATGAAGAAAATTATAATATTCCTCTGAGCCAAGGTACATTTCTTGGGTACCTTTTCTTCTCCTTAAATAGGCTGTTTGGTTTTCAGTGTAAGAACTATTTGAAAACTTTTTTTTTTTTTTTTTGGTCTTCCATCTGCAGAGGTCTTGTGATTTCCATGGTGGTCAGTCTTGTATTTATTGTTCTGCTCCGGTTCCTGGCAGGGATCATGATTTGGGTGATGATTGTACTGGTGATTCTGGTGCTTGGATATGGTGAGTTCAGTCAAGTCTGGAATCTGATGGGTTAGAGCAAAAGTCTACTGGAAGTTCTCACTCTCATTCTGAAGGTCTAGTTTAGAGGTGAACAATATATGGACTTCCAATTCCAAATATTCCATCTCCTCATCATTGGTGAGCTAACCATGGTGAGCTTCTGGGGATTGGAGTTAATGGTATCTAGAAGACCATATATTAACAAGATATCCATGACTGATTCTCCAGATAAGTCTTCAGCTGTACTGGCTGAGAATTCTGAGAGTTACAGTTCCAACATATCTGAGAACTACAGGTTGGGGAAGATGTGCTAAGCCTTTATATGATTTGCCTATATGAATTTGCTTTCTGTGCCTTTTAACCACCACTCCCTGTTTGGGCTGTCGTATTGTGGGTATAATGGGAATGTTAAACCAAGGCTTTTGGCAACTCTTTTCTCTGCCTTTTCCGTTTTTCTGACTACTGTCTTTGTCTTCCAGGAATCTTTCATTGTTATATGGAATATGCTAATCTGAAAGGACAGGCTGGTTCTGATGTCTCCTTAATGGAACTTGGATTCCAGACAGACTTCCGTGTCTATCTCCACCTGAAGCAAACCTGGTTAGCTTTCAGTAAGTTCCTGCTCTAGTATACTACCCAGTGACATGGCTTCTTTATTGAGCTGTCCTAGAAGCTATTTAAAAGTAGAGAAGGAGAAGATCTCTTTGAGCCTCCATGTAGATGAAAGTGTATTCTGAATAGTTCCAAGAATGTTTCTAGCTTGTGGTTTTACCCTGCTCAGTAGAACCTCTGTAGGGCAGGACTCATCTCATTTCCTTTGTTTTTTTAATCCAGTGATCATCCTGTGCATTCTGGAAGTTATCATTATCCTGCTGCTTATCTTTTTGCGCAAGAGAATCCTCATTGCCATTGCACTGATCAAGGAAGCTAGCAGGTGAGGCTAACTTGGACTCTTCCTCCTTGCAAGTGTCATCCACAACCATCCTCTTATTAATCAGTTTTGTAGTTCTCCAGAGTTGACTTGCTGTTCTGTCTAAATCTGTTGCTGCTGGAAAATCAAGCAGGTCTATACAGCATCAAAAAACAAAAGAAGAAAATTCTAAATTCAGAATAATCTCTCATTTTGCCAGGGAACAGACTGCATATCCATCTCAAATATAGAATGTTCTTTTAATTTGTGAGGGATCCCAGACTAGCCATTTCTTCCAGAATTGCTGGGATAAGAGCAGTTAAAGTGTACATACTCCTGGAATAGAATCTGTTAACTATCCCGGATGTAGGTGATTGGAAACCAGGTCCCAATGTGGCCAAAGAACAATTGTTGAAGAGGGCTTTATTGTGGCTGGGAGTGCTAAGGCACTGGAACTGAATCATGTATTTTTTCTTTCTCCCCATTCCCCATCCCTCTTGCAGGGCTATTGGACACATCATGACATCACTTCTGTTTCCTCTCTGCACTTTCTTTCTGGTGTGTCTCTGCATTGCTTACTGGGCCAGTACTGCCGTGTATCCTTCCTCAGTTTTTCTGTCTTCCCTGGATAAATGGGTCAAGGGGATGGGTAGGGATAATACCAAATGACCCAGTTCACAGATGCTTATCTCAGGCAAGCAAAAATGGCCTTTTTATTGCAATAATGCAGAGTTCCTTGACTGCTTCTAGTTTCTTGTCTACCTCTAATGAAGCTATCTATAAGGTGTTCAATGATACAGAATGCCAGTATGCTGGAACAACCTGCAACCCAGAGGTAAGAAACTTAAAATAGTTAACTAGTGAAAATACTTTCAGTCAAGCTGTTCAGAAACCACAAGTGGATTAAAAATACAGCAGTCCACTTCCTGCTGGATGTGTGACTGATCCTCTTGCAAGGGCCACCGATGAGGCTCACTCCTTCAGCTTCCAGCCAACATGGGGAGTCTGAGCCAAGCAGGTTTCTCTCCTGCTGTGTGTCTTGCCACTTTCTGATGCTTCAGAAAGTGGGATGTTCAAAGCCTTGAGTTTGTACTTCCGCCCAGGGAAATGTACTCAAGCATGCACTGTTATCCTTTAGCAAATGTAAGCATGGCTTTATAGGGGAATTAACTCTATACCTTGTTCATTATTTTGAATTACTTTTTGAAAGGCAAAAGGAACAAATTCTCTAGTTATACCACGTATTCACAATTGGGGCATTCTGGAAATTCTAATTGCACAAGCCAAAAATTCTGTCCTGTCCAGATTATGCTTGGGGGGGGGGGAGAATAAAAAAGCGATATTATTCTAAAACTATCGTTTTTTTAGGGGGCACCTGGGCCCATTTGTTGC